CCCCCCAGCCCCTTGCCCCTCCAAGGTTCCTGAAAGGGACAAGTGAGAGCCTGCCCAGCATCAGCACAAACAGGGAAATAAATAGGTGTTGGGGGGAGCCATGCTTAGGGCACTGCCCCCTGCTCCCTTCTTCCTAGCTTTGGGGACCAACAGCACAGGAAAGCAGTCAGCCCCAGGATGGTCCCTTCCATGTCAGTGATCCCAGGGCTGCTGCTCACCAAAGAGGGGGTACAGGGTAGGGTGTTTGTTCATCCCCTTCTCTTGGTCCATCTGGGCCCTATATTCATCACCTACTGTCCAAAGCCTATGCTTTTCTCCTTTTGCTCTCCCATGTTGTCTTGATCAGGCAGGGGTAAGAGGAAATAATGCAGCCCCATCAGCCTGCACACTGCTGGGGCTGGGGGCCTATTTGTGCTGTTGGGGGATGGCTCCCCTCCAGCTAATTCACTCGGGAGCCAATGGGATTTGACATAACTTTGGTGAGAATCATCTCCTGCTGCTCCCTATATGCCTGCAGGGGAGGGAGACAAGGAGGAGACACCTGGAGTTCAACAGGCTGCAGGGGAAAGAGGAGCACGTTATTCCCGTGTGTATTTCTCAGAGCAGCCACAGGCAGCTGTGGGACAAGGAGCAGGAGGGGGCCAGGCATCCCCAAGTTGTCTGAGCGCTGAGCATTGCCGCGCTCAGCCTGTCTGTACTATAGCCGCAGGGAGGCGTGAACACGTTTTGGGGGAGAAGAGGGACCACTCTGCGGGTGTCCCCACCTCAAGTGCCTCATCCCCCTCCCAAGAGCAGAGAGGCCCTGCCTTGCCCGAAGTCAGCCAGTGGGGAGCAGAAGGTGGAGGCCTAGGGCAGTGTCCCAGGGCTGAGTGGGCTGTGGCCCTGTGGTGGGAGGGTGAGGAGGTCAGAGCGCCTCCTGGCTGGCAGTTAGAAACTCTTCCGCCCGCTTGTGCGCCTCCAGTGCCTTGATGGTGTACACGTCCTGAGGCAGCTCTGACTTCCGCCGAAGCAGCACTTTCTCCTTCTTGATGTCCTTTAGCATCTGTGTGGGGATGTGCAGAAGGTGAGGAATGGTGACCAAGTCCCGAGAAATCCCATTGTTTCCTGCCCGGATTCCTTGGCTCTGCAGCTCCTGTCTCCTCTCCCTCCCAGGGCTGTCTTGTCTTTCTGCTCCCCGTGCCCTCCCACCTGCACAGCCTCTGTCTCCACCGTCCTCTTCAGAAGCTGGATGTCCTCTGCCGTGGGGGTCTCCGTCTCCATCGAGTACACAGGAGGCAGTGGTGGAGGCGCTCGGAACATGGGATACTGAGAGGAAAGGAGGCAGACAAGTGGCGAGAGCCACCTGGGAAGTCTGAGGACCCTGTTTGCTTCCTGCCCCTCCTCAGACAAACCCTCCTCCAACCCAGTCAGTTCAGGGCAAGGGCAGAAGCACCTCACCTGGGGGTTAAGGCGAGCCAGCTCCTCAATCCTTTGCCACATCTCTTCTCTCTCCTTCATTCGGAACCGGCCCCTGAGGGAGCAAAGACAGGATTGGGGTGGGCTTGAGAGAAGCACAGGGGGCTGGTGTGGAAGAGGAAGACTCCCAAGGAGAGAGAGACTCACTTCTGCTTCTCTGCCTTGTATTGTTGTGTACAGTCATCAAACAGCTTCTGATTCATCTCCATAAACAGCTTCAGGGCATTGTAGATTAGGCCATGGATTGTCCTGCCACCAGGAAGAAAGACGAGGTATAAGAGGCCAGAGCCTGCCCTCAGTGCCAGGACCTCAATTTGCTCTCTCCCACAAGGTATCTCTGCTAAGAGCTTTCTCACGTACTACTCCCATCCCACCAGCCTCTGTACAGTGTAAGCTCATCGCTCTGGCCAAATCACGTGACTTGAGATTGGCAGTTCAGGCCCTTTACAAATACGAGTCTGCCTGCCCATCCTTCCTGCACCCCGTGCTCCAAGAGCTCCCTTTTCCCCACTACTACCTACTCTAATAGCCCACACTAATGGCCTCCCAGCGCACTTGCTTTAAGCAGGAGAGCCTTTTTACAACGCTGGGATTTAATACGTACTAAGAGGATCACATCAGCTTCTCACAACATGGAATTACATCTCCAAAGCTGCAGAATATCTGACCTCAAGAAGAGATGCGACAGAGGCCACTGCTCTGCTGCTGGGTAGCACAGATCTCTCACATGGGTACCTTTTCTCCCCGGTCAGTCCCTCAAGGCCCTATTAATATGCAGTGGGCACCAGCCCCGCTTGCTGAGGGACCAGATGAGACCACTGGCTCTTGAGTCCATCCACACCTTCCCACATTCCAAAACCAGATCCTCGGTGCCCAGTGCCACCCCAGTTCCCTACTTGTTCCAGTGGCTCTTGGAGTTCCTGTACAGTGCAGGGAACATGATGGGAAGGACTCGGGCAGCATTGTCACTTATCAGGCTCATGATGTACTCATTGTTCCAGTAATAGAGGGCACGCTCTGCCACCTGGTGGGGACAGGCGAGACTCAGTGGGGATATGGCTCGCTATGCTGAAGACCCTCCTCAGTTTTCTGGGAGGCAGGGGCTGGGATGTTCTGGGTCTGGGTCTCACCTGGAAATGGGGGCTGGAGACACACTTGGCAAGCTGGCGGAAGAGTGGTTCCATCACTTTGCTGAACTCTGAAGGTTCAATGACATCCAGAATCTCCTCTAGCTCATTCAGGAACATCACCTCCTTGGGGCTGTGGGTCTTGGGCCAGAACTTGAGAAGGCCCACGATCACCTGCGAGAAGAGGAGGACACAGGGATAAAATTCTCACTCAACACCTGTCTGGGTTTCCAAGAAGCCATCCTGCCCTCTCCCCTCAACCCTGGTGGGCACAGCTTGGGTGGCCTCAGCTAAGTGCTCGTGTTTCTCTGGCTTGGATGCTTCCTAGGTGTACAAAGATTTTACTTCTCCTTTAGAGAGGAAACCATGTCACCTGTCGGGTTACATCCCCCCTGAGTGCTCACGGCACTGCTCGATAGGTACCAACTGGCAAGTGCTGCTGACAGGGAGAGGTGGACCCTGGGGCCCAGCAGGGGAGTTACCGGCTCAGTGAGGCTGCTTTCCTTCTCCAGAAACTGTACCACGCAGTACGCCAGCTGCAGGAGGTTGAGACAGAAAGGAGGTGAGGTGCAGGGATCAGAAGGTCATAGAGAGGTCGGTGACAGAAACCAGACCCCAGAACAGAAGGGGAGGCGTAGAGAGGAATTCCGCCCCCTGCTCCCTCTGCCACCCCATCACGGCTGGAATGCTTCCCCTTCCCTCTTTTCTCTGCAGCCAGGGCCGGGGATCAGCAGGAGGAAGGCAGCTCACCTGAGGGTGGTAGACACTCAGAGACTTGACCTTGTGAAGGGGAAGCAGGACACGGATGAGGAACATCTTGTGCTCTTCTTTCAGGGGCAAGGCAAAGCCATTGATGATGCTGGGAGTTAAGGGAGGGCTGTCAGGACCAAAGGGCCAGGTCCAAGCTCAATGCACCAATCCTCCTGACCTTTTCTAGGCATGTGTGCCCCCGCCCCACCTCTCACCTGCCCAGGATCTCCAGGAGCTCAGCAATCCCATTGTGATGCTCTGTCTCATAGATGAACCTGAGGGAAGAACAAAGACTCTCTTGATAACCCCTGATGCCCCTCCAGCATTCTGTGGAGTCCAGCCTACCACCCTTCTCCCACCCCATCTTAGTGAGGGGCTGGCTTTGCTCCTGAGCCCAGGCTCCTGGCCTCACCTGTAGAAGATGTGGTTGATCTGCCTACGGATATAAGCCCGGAGCCCCAAAAACTTGCCATAGATGCGATGCAAGATGGTCTTGAGGAAGTCCCGCTCTCGAGGGTCTTCACTGTCAAACAGGTCCAGGAGCTGGGAGCAAGCGGGAGAAGCAGCAGCAGTGAGGCGGGAGCCAGGGAAAGCCAGGGCTGGGGTGACTTGGGTTCTGGCCAGAGGAAGCCCTCTGAAGAGGGTGTGTGGAGACGAGTCTCTGGGAAGAGTGATTCTATTGTACTGCTCTACCCCAGGTGATGTCTGGGAATACATGCTGCATTCCCCATTGGGGGGGGGGGGGGAGGGGGGGTAACAGTGTTGCTTTTTTGTCTCCTTCCATTATGCTGGAAGCTTCTTATGGACAGAGTAGGTTTGTTTAACCCCCATGGTCAATTTGCACCAGACACAGCTGAAACCCAATACAGTACCTATATTCAGCAGAAGCAAAAAGAGCTTGGACTGGAGTCAGGGGACGTGGGGCTAGAGTTCATGGACCGGAAGGAGGGGAAGGCAGGAACTTCAGGGACTCACAGCAAGGACAAACTTCTGGTCAATGTACTTCTTGGCTATGTTTGGCTGGAAATCAGGAGACTCAAGGAAACGTAAGAAAAACTCGTACACGAGCTGCGGGGGGAAAGGGGCATCACTTAGGGGCATTCCCCAAGGACTGGGAGAGCCCCCTTGCTGCACGGCTCAGAGTGCCCCACTGCCCACAGCCAGGCCCCTGCCCCCTTTGCTCTGGTACCTGGAGATGCGGCCAGGCGGCTTCCAGGGTGGGCTCATCTTCCTCGGGGTCAAACTCGGCCCCAGTGGGATTTGAGGAAGGTGGCAGCGTCCGGAAGAGGTTCACTGAAAACTGAGGGGTAGGGAGGGCCCAGGTGAGAGCTCTCTGGGCAGGTCTGGGCTTTTCCGGGGCCCCCGTCCCTGCCCGCTTTCCCCTTTCCCTGTGCCTACCATAGTGACGGCCTCAGGGTAAATGGCCTCGGTGACAACATCGCGGCTGTGGGTGATGTACTCCACCATTTCGTTGAGCCCCGCCCGCTTCACCTCCTTGAATTTGAGGTCACTGAGTGGGTCTGACACAAAGTCAAAGAGGACGCAGCACTGGCGTAGCTTCTGGATAAACAGCTCCTCCCGCTCCTGGGTTGGTGAGTCTAGGGGCGGACGGGCCATGGTCAGGTCTCCTCTGTGGTCCTTCACTGCTATGCCCTGCTCACCTCGCAGGGCGTTCCCCGATCCCTTCCTGCCACCATCCTGCTCCCCTGACGCCCACCCCCAACCCCAGCGCAACTCCCCCTCACATTCTCTAGAGCTTCCACCCTCCCCCAAACACCCCCAAACCTCCATTCCGCCAACACCCACTGTCCCCTAGGTCTAATGCCGCAGCCCCCTTGACCTTTTCCCAGTACCTTTCAGGGCAGGAAGCTTCTGCAGCTCCCGGTTCTTGCTGAGGTTGAAGCGGGAGGAGCTTTGCCGTCGCTCCTTCTTGACAATCTGGGGCCCCCCTGAGTACTTGATTTTGCTGAGCTGTGTGGGGGGTGGCGTGCTGTTGCTGGGACGCTTGTTGGATGACGGCGGCTGCGGTGGCGGCTGAGGTGGCGGCTGCGGCTGAGGCTGGGGCTGGGCCTGGTCAAACGAGCAAGCCACTGGAGTGCATTCGCCAAGCTACGCTTCCCACCCCAGGCCTGGCCCACCGCCCAGCCCCGGGTCCGTTTATGCCTCTACGGGCCTGGGCAGCAAGCAGCTGCCTCCTGCCCCGAAGGAGCCAAGACCAGGGTCAGACGTAACTGCGGGATGTGGCCCTGGAAGGGAGCGGTCTAGAAGGCGTGTCTCCCAAAGTGATGCCCACTGCCTGTGCATCAAGAGCCTTCAAAACGCTCACTCCTGTTCCTGAACAGGCAAAGCTAATTGATGGACTGACAGTGACAGAAGTCAGACAAGTGGCTCTCCTGCCAGGGAGGGGGTGGCAGCGGTGTGGGTTGTGGAGATGCGGGTGGTGACTGAGAAGGGGCACAAGGACCTCTCTGACTAATGGAAACATTCCGTATCTTGACTGAGTCTGGGAGGTGGTTCATAGCATAAACATATGTAAAAATGCATCGAGCAGTACAGCGAAGATTACTCTATTTTATCATTTACTGAACGTGTGACAGTCTTCAGTTAAAGAAACTCCTTCCCATATCTCAGCAGTTTAACTACTAGAAATATAGATTAAGCAAAATCCTAAATATAAAAAAAGGCTTTGTGCAAAAACACTTTTTATGGTCTTATTTATAACGGCAAATATATAAATACATGGAAATCATGGAGTTAAAATTATGTTTATGAAAACTATGTACTAAATGTAATCATACGTGGTTCAGCTGTGAAAAATGTTTACACAGTCAGAGTAACTTACCCAAAACGGGTGATAAGTATTCTGAGAAGAGGGGAAAAGTCTGCACAGAGGTATAAGACACTGGGGCCTTAATTTTCCACATTAGGAAGTCAAGAGATATGTAAAGCTCACAAATTAAAGGGGAAAAAAAAAGCAGTAAAAAGATCTTATTTGGAGGTATAAAAGTCAATCTGCAAGGAAAGAGTTAGGAGGTGAATGTGGTTGCCACGAAACAACAGGAGACGAGGGGCCGGCGACAGGGGCTGCCCTGCTCATTACAAGCCTGAGAGTATTATCTGACCTTCTGAACAATGCACCTATCACCACGCTGATAAAAATTAAAAACAAAACAAGAAGACTAAAACTATGGAACGAGAGAAAATTGCTTCCTATATGCTAAGTTAAATAAGGATAATACAAACCTGTATATACGAAATGAGCTCACCCATATTAAAACATGCACAGAACCCAAAATCCAGTTAAGAAAGAGAAAGAACAAGTGCATTGTGTTCATGACTATCTCCTGTAATGACAGAATGAGACATGACTTTTTCCTAAATTTTTTACACACTGACCACTGCTTTTGTAATGGAGAAATAGGGAATGCCCTGGCAGTCCAGTGGTTAGGACTCTGTGCTTCCACTGCACAGGGCCTGGGTTCGATCCCTGGTCAGGGAACTAAGATCCTGCAAGACACACAGCATGGCCAAAAAAAAAAAAAAAAAAAAAAGACAATATAATGGGAGAAATACAGCTAATTTCCAAAAGTTATTTCTTTACTTCCCCCCAGACACGGGTGTCAGAGCCCCACGAAGCCCATTTTCAGAAGCACACAAACAGGGGTTTGCAGGGCTGTCCACTCATAGGTACTGTCCAGGTAACCCCCTGCTGGGAGAGGGGAGAGGCTGAGCCACAGGACAGCCCTTCCCCCCAACCAGAGAAGAGACTGCAACAGGACCAGAGGAGTGAGGTCACGTCCAGCTGGGTCCCCACACCACAGGAAAACTGTCCTCCTGTGCTCACACCTGCCATCCCCGCCTCCTCTCCAGCCCGCTCCATAAACTCTTACTTCATAAAATTAGAATGGGAGAATATGAAACTCTCTGGGATAAGGGGCGAGGAGGAAGACAAATGTCATGCTTTGTATGCTCCTGAATTTTTTGATAGAAACAATTATGTCAAGCTTGTGACCTATCTGGGGGTCAGAAGCAAGAGAGGAGCGCTGGATCCAGCCCAGGGCAGGCCTTGGGTCCGGTGTAGTTCATTACCGCTTAGGCCATCTGGCCCTCTCCTCCTCCTGAAAGGAGCCCCAGACACCAATTTGACTAGGGGAACGCAAAGAAGTGGGGCAAGAGCAGTCACCACACACCTCCCTTGCCATGACCACGCTCAACCAGTGTGATTTTTTGGCTTAGACAGTGCAAGGCACCCTGAAGTCTGGGGTCTCCCTTCCTGTATACGGAGGATGGATCACACCTTGGTAGAGGATGAAGGAGAGAGGCAAAAGGCCAGTGGGCCAGAGCCTGGTGTGCATCAGACTCTCCCCACTTCCCTGTCGCAGGAACAACCCAATCCTTATCTGTGGAGCTTAACAGTCAAGGGCACAGACTTGAGCCTGACTGCCTGGGTTTGACTACTGGCTCTGCCAGTTATTAGCTGAGTAACCTCCAGGAGGTCATATAGCCTCTCTCTGCCTCATTTGTAAAGTGGGGATGGCAACTACCTCACAGGGTTGTAACAAGGATTTAAATGAACAGCAGAAGTTCACACAGAAGTGTCTTATGAGCAGTATCTTCTACTATTGTTGTTGTTATTATTATTATTTCCCATCCCTGGATTTTAGGAATACAGCCTGGAAATTCCTGAAAGTAGCACACCTCAAATGTTCCTTAGAGTTCATTATCCTTCTTGTTTTAAAATGGGGGAACCCAGGGAATTCCCTGGCAGTCCAGTGGTTAGGACTCCGTGCTTTCACTGCTGTGGGCCCGGGTTCAATCCCTGGGTGGGGAACTGAGATCTCACAAGCCACGTGGCGTGGCCAAAAACATAATAAAATAAAATGGGAGAACCCAAGGAGGCATTGCATCTTTCAAGACCCACCTTCTTCCAAAAAGCCTTCTCCAATCACTCCAGGACTTGCATGTCCACCCTCCACCCTCAACCTTCTGACACTGCTTATCTGTTCCATTGGCTCTGGGATCATCCCTAGTGACACCTCTTGATCACTTTGCTCATGTGTCATCTCCCCACTAGAAAACAAGTCCCTTTAAAGCCAGGACCCTGGTTTGTGCCCCTCTGGGTCTCCTCAGCACTGGCACTGACACCTAACAGGCATTCAGCGAATGACTGGTTATTTGACTGATGGGGGGGCAGGGCGGGCAGGGGACACCAAGCCCAGGCCCATCTCCATAGGTCCCTCCTGTCCTGACCGGGAACCTTCAGAACAAAGCCCTGCACAGTGGTGGGAGCAGAGTGGGAAGGAGAAACATCAGAGATACTAGGCTGAGGGGCTCAGTGGCAACTGAGGAACAAGACTCGGGAAGAATATGTCTCTCTCCATCCTCCCAGATGAGATGCAGAAACCCTGCATCTCCATGAACCTCGCACTGAGGGGACACATCCAGAGAAAGGAGGCCTTCTTCCCAAAAAGGGAAAAGCAAGACCTCAATTTTCTCTGCTAACGAGCAGAGGGTTGGACTAGATCAGTAGTCCAAACACTCTCCAAGTAAGGTGTTTTTGTTTTTGTTTTCTGCGGTACGCGGGCCCCTCACCATTGTGGCCTCTCCCGTTGCGGAGCACAGGCTCCGGACGCGCAGTGGCCCTGGCTCACGGGCCCAGCCGCTCCGCAGCATGGGGGATCTTCCCGGACCGGGACACAAACCCGTGTCCCCCGCACCGGCAGGCGGAATCTCAACCACTGCGCCACCAGGGAAGCCCCCCAGTAAGGTTTTAAGAAAACAGAGATTGCATGGCTGAAAATCATAGTTTAAAAAGCCACCCAATAGTTGATGCCTAAGGTCCCTTCCCCTTCAGGATGGCATTATTGAAGGTTGGGGTGGCCGGAGAGCAGCTGAGCCGGCTTAGTCTGCCCCGCCGCCAGCCCACTGGGCCACCCTGGTTTTATAAGGACCATTGGCTCCCAGGCCCCAGATACAAGGAGCAGCTGAGAGACAGCTGGGCCGGCCAGCAAAGCCCTGGAAACATACTTGGCAGAAGGGAGTATAGGTTGTGCCAGCAACTCACTTCACGTTCAACCCTTTCTCCTAAAAGCTCTAGCTTCCAACTTCTCCTTTATTGACCTGGGCTGGAGATGAGAGGCGGCTGCATCCCCAGGAGAACCTTCTGCAGCCATCAGAGCATGGGTGGACACGGCCCAAAGGCAAGCTGGTGACCTGCCTGCTCCCACTTCTGAGACTCCACAGTGGGTGTCTCCTCTGCCTGAACAACTGCTCCTCCCACTTCTAAACTTGCAACAGGATCCAAACTCCAAGAAGCCTTCCTAGATTCGGGCCTCCTGCAATCCAGTGGGGCTTTTTTTTTTTTAAATAAATTTATTTATTTATTTTTGGCTGCATTGGGTCTTAGCTGCTGCATGCAGGCTTTTCTCTAGTTGCGGTGAGTGGGGGCTACTCTTCGTTGTGGCTCATGGGCTCTAGAGTGCAAGCTCTGTAATTGTGGTGCATGGGCTTAGTTGCTCCGCCACATGTGGGATCTTCCCAGACCAAGGCTCAAACCCGTGTCCCCTGCACTGGCAGGCGGATTCTCAACCACTGCGCCACCAGGGAAGCCCCTCCAGTGGGGCTCTGAATTCATACACCACCCTCACACTCAGGAGACTGCAACTATACTTGCCCACTCTGAACCAATTCCATTCCAACCTGACCCTAACACAGACACTGGTAATCATTAATCCCATATATTTAAACATAAAGTAGGACGTAGAAATATAATTTAAGCACTATAGAAGGTACTGTCGTAGAAAGATGAAAGATAAAATTATCAGTGAAAAAACGCAAAGATTAATGTTACAGCTTTTGCATAATGAATTAACTAGCTGAGTGAAGATCATTTTAGTTTCAAACCCTGAAAATCAGAGAGGCATTCTCTCCTGTATTGACACTTAGAGCACTGTTGGGTTGGCCAAAGAGTTCGCTTGGGTTTTTCGTAACAGCTTACAAAAAAACCAAACGAACTTTTTGGCCAACTCCATACCCATTCTTTTTGTTGTTGTTGTTTGTTTGTTTGTTTGTTTTCAGTACACGGGCCTCTCACTGTTGTGGCCTCTCCCGTTGCGGAGCACAGGCTCCGGATGTGCAGGCTCAGCAGCCATGGCTCACGGGCCCAGCTGCTCCGCGGCACGTGGGATCTTCCCAGACCGGGGCACGAACCCATGTCCCCTGCATCGGCAGGCAGACTCTCAACCACTGCGCCACCAGGGAAGCCCCCCATACCCATTCTTAATTCCTTTATTCAATAAACATCATGCTACACATTAGAGATTAAAAGGTGAATAAGACATGGCCCTTGCCCTCGAAGAGCTCACAGTCCAGTGGGCAAGACAGACACGAAAGCGGCCATTAGTACAGGGCAATGCAAAATCAGAGCGCCGCAAAAGATTCAGGAACTCAGAGGGCTGAGTGACAAACTCTGCCTGAAGAATCAGGGAAGCCCTCCCTGAAGAGGTGACTTTTGATTTGTCTCTTAAAGGATAAACACAGGTTTAGGCAAAGAATGAAAAGAGAGAGATAAAGCAGTCCAGGCCAATGGGATGACACCAATAGGAGCCCTGAGCCACAAAAAGCTTGTAGGGTTGGAAGTTGGAAAGTCCAGAGGGGCTGGAAGAACAAGGCGGGGCCAGCCCAGAAGGCCTGAGGCTGCGTATTTGAATTTGTGAGCAATGAGATGCCAAGAGGGACTTTTAAGTAAAGGACTGATAGGACCAAAAATGTTTTTAGGGTAACAACTCTGGCTACAGTGATGTCAGGCTGAAGTGGGGATGAGCAGGATCGTTTCTTCCTCCCTCTGTCCCTGCTCCCAGAACTCAGGACAGGGCACAGCACATAGGAAAGTCCACAGCACTGAAATGCTTTTTCCAAAGACAGGCCAGGAAAGACCCCTGCCTTGTAGCAGAGTCTGACCTAATCTCTCAAGGCTCCTTTCCATTCTAAGACTCTTCTAGAATCTTAGAACCAGCCTATTAGGTCATTAAGAACATGGGAGGACTGGCCACAGACCTGGGCTGAATTCCAGCTCTGCTGTTTTACTGCTGAGTAAAAGCTACTTAACATCACTAAGCCTCAGTTTCGTCTGTAAAATGGGGCTGATGATGATAACAGATGACCTCAGGGACTGCTGTACAGATTAAATGAGAAGATTATAAGATTAAATACATGCGTACTTAGCACAGTGCCTGGGACAGACTGTACTGGGTTGAACAGTGTCCCCCCAAAATTCACATCAACCCAACATCTATGAACGTGATCGTATTTGCAAACAGGGTCTTCACAGATGTAATCAAGTTAAAATGAGGTCATACTGGATTAGGGTGCGCCCTAAATCCAACATGACTGGTGTTCTTATAAGAAGAGGGAAATTTGGACACAGAGACAGAGGCACAGGGGAGAACGCTGAGTGAAGACGGAGGCAGAGATTGGAACGGTGCTTCTAGAAGCCAAGGAGCAGATCGCAGAAAGCCACCGAAGCTGGGAGAGAGGCCTAGAAGAGGTTCTTCCCTAGAACCTCAGAGGAATACGGCCTGCTGACACCTTGATTTCAGACTTCTGACTTCCACAGCTAAGAGAGAATAAATTTCTGGTATCTTAAGCCACCCAATTCATGGTAATTGGTTATGGCTGTCCTAGGAAACTAATACACAAGTAACTGCTCAATAAAATAAATGTTGGCTGCTATAAATTATTAAGATCAGTTGGAAAGACTAGCAAATGCTTGACACGGGGTAAGTTTGGCTGTAAGAACCCAAAATTCTGGACTAGAAAAAGGGCAAGGGAGGGATTTCCTTGGCGGTCCAGTGGTTAAGACTTTGCCTTCCAGTGCAGGGGGTGCAAGTTCGATCCCTGGTCGGGAGCTAAGATCCCACATGCTTCGCAGCCAAAAAAAAAACAAAACATAAAACAGAAGCAATATTGTAACAAATACAATAAAGACTTTAAAAATGGTCCACATCAAAAAAAAAAAAAAGAAAGAAAGAAAGAAAAAGGGCAAGAGAAGGACTGTGACAAACAGCTTTTGATGACCTGGGCCTCACAGCCTGGCCCCCAACTATTCCATGTCCCACTGCCTGGGGCCACCTGGGTGCATTTCTGCAAAATCATGGAGAATTCCTGCAGCTGCCTCAGATAGGTGAGCCCTGAGCGGCATTTCATAAAACAGAGCCCAAGGTGAACACAACAGTCTCCTTTTCCAGAGGGCGGTGGAGAAATCACAGCAGCTGGTCTCAGCTTATTTCTTAAGATGCTTGAGCCTTCGTTTTCCTAACTATGAAAGGAGAGGGTTCCTTCCAGGTCTAATTTGAAGTTGGTTTGTTTGCTCATCCGTTCACTAATGCATTCAAATGCTGGTGCTTCCAGTGGGCCAGGCCCTTCGGTGTGAGCGAGAGCCTCTCAGGAGCTAAGTGTTAACACAGGAGACAACTGACACACAATGAATTCCCACGGAATTGTTTCATTACAGCTGTGGTTAAGCACTGCCGTGGAGTGATGCTGGGTACCAGGGGCCCTGACCGCATCCTGGGCATGGGGATGGGGGCAGGTGGTCAAGGAGGGCTGCTTCCAGGAAATGACAGCCAATCTGTCTAGTAACTGAATGAGCAGGAGGGAGTCAGGCAGAAGGCAGGAGTGGCCCCCCAAGCTATTCCTTTCTGTCCCTTTAAATCCTGTTTCCAAGTCCCTTGCTGCTTTGAGTATCAGTTGCCGGCTCCCGCCACCTTCCCTGTGGGTCCCACACGTCACGGCTCCTGAAGGGGAGACTGAGCCCAGAGGGTGTGCCCTCCAGAAGCATCTCCTGGTGATCTCCTGTGAACCAAGGGCGTCAGCACACAGGTGTGGGAAAGAAGCAGGCTCCTCCCCTCACAGTTCACAGTCTGGTGGGGAGAAACACATCCGGGAACCAACAGTGCCAGCACTGAGTGACAAGGACTGGCCTAGAGACATGTTCAGATGCCAGTGTATGTGCAGAGGAAGGAGGAATTTCTCTTCCGTGGTCCTCAACTCGCATGTCTGTAAGATGGAGAAAACCTACCCTGCCTCCTCCCATCACTCAAGTGAGGGTAAAATTAAAATGATGGTCGCAGGTGTGAAAAGTGCTTGGCTCTCTTTGGAGGTGATAGGGACCAGAAGTATCCAGAAAAATCCAAACCCAGAGTTAACCCCAACCAAACACTTTTTAATCGATCTCCTCTCCATGACCTGCCCCCAACCCACAAGACCTGCCCAGAATTAGACAGCTCCATTTCCTGTTCACCTCCATCCCTCTGAACAGTTTAGCACAGGAGGGAGGAAGCACAGAAAGCAAGGATCACCAGCTTCCGAGTAACACAGGCGCTTGCTCAGTGTGCTCCCAGGACCATTCAACATCCAAGCATCCCACTGAGCACACTCCCAAACTTCCATGGACACACTCTGGACTTCCTTAAGTCCCTCCACCCCACTGTGTGCTCTCTGCTTGCCATTTATTGCTTTACAGTCCTAGATTGCCAAGCTGCACTGACCTCTGCTCATGCCTGTCCTTCAGCAGCTCCCATCTGATCGGGACCAAGAGAGGTGGGCCCAGCCCTGCCCGACTCAAGGACATCAGCCACTCCCCACCCCTGCCCCACCCAGAGCTACACTGAAGTCACCCCACTGAGCACCCATGTGCACCCGCGTACTTTTCCCTCCTCCCCAGGACTCAGTGTCCCTAGCTTTTGGCCCTAAGAGAAAAGGAATTCTCAACACCTTGGTAGACAGAGAATTGACTTTCACAGGAATCCCTGCGGAATCGGAAAAACTGGAGGGCTTATTTGGTTCATAGCCACCAAAGGGAAAGCCTGCCTGAGGGCAGTCTGGATGGGCTGTCCAGGCCCCTCCCTGGCTATGAAAGTATCCTTCCCTTCTGCCCCAATAATCTCCGGCCCTCTGAGATCCCCCACCCCACTAGCCATCAAGCAGGTGGAACTGGCGTCTGCACCGTAACTAGGGCTATGCCCACGTTCATTACCTCCTCAGCGCTCTCGCCTCCGCCATCCTTGCTCGAGCTGCTGGGCTTGGCCGCGCCTTTGGCAAGCTTGGGGGGCTCCTGAAGGGAGAAGACGGAGGTAGAGTTAACAGATGCCAAGGAAGGGAGAGGCCTCATCCTCATCCCTCAGGTCTCTGTTGTAATTCTCCTCTGTCCAATTGAATCAATCAGTCAAGCAGCACCACTGAGCACCTACCTTAAACCTGGGGCGGTGGGGTGGCAGGTTGGGGTACACAAAGGGAGATTCAGTCCCTCAAAGGCACCAACGAGTTCAGAATCTGGTTAGGAAGACAACTCTAACACACAATAATCCAGCATGACCATGCTCCTTCACCTCACAAGGCTGTTGTATGCGTTAGGGCCTCGGTCAAGTAAGAACCAGGGTGACGAGGCTCAAGGGAAAAGCAGCATGGAAGAAGCTGCTCAGACTGGCTTCTGGCTAAAGCGGGCAGAGGGGGCCTAAGGCTCTCATGCTGGAGGGAAGGGAGTCACCACTCTACCCTCGAGGACATCTGGAAAGACCTGGAAGCATTTTCAGGATATCACAAACAGCACCCAGACTCGAAACTGCTACTGGCATAATCAGTGGGGCCCAGGGATGCTAACAGGTATAGGAATCGTCCCAAGAACGCCTCGGTAGACAAGCACAAGGACAGGGATGGGGATAAGGCCCAGAATTGCTATAAAGAATGAGCACTAGTCCAAAGTCTCCCTTGGGAACCTAGCTGCTGGCTCAGAGCCCTGGCCTGCCCAGCATCTCTTCCTATGCTTTGGGCCAAAAAAAAGCAACTGCCCAGGGACAGGATGAGGAAAATGTGAAAAAGACTTGGGGATTTAGGTATGACTGCAAGCTCAACACAAATCATCCATGTGCTGTGGCTGCCACAGCAGCTCATGTGACCTGCCATCCAGTTAACAGACGTGTGCAGAGTGCCTGGCACCAGGGGACGTGGAAGCACCCCATCCTTGGCACTGATGGGGCCATTCTGGAGGATCTGGTTCAGTCGAGAGCATCACACTTTGGGAGGGACAAAGACAAATGCTAGGTTTTCTTCGGGGAAAATACAACCCATAGAGGGAGTAGATTCAAAAGCAGGTCCTGAGAGCAACAGCTGCAGGAACTGGGATAGTTAACAATGGAAGGGAGGAGTCATAGCGGGTGGGGGAGCAAGAGGGATCTTTACGAATAAATGAAGGGCTGCCATGTGGACTAAAGATGCAACTTGTTCTATGTGGATCCAGAGGCCCAAGAGCCATGGGCAGAAGTGGCAGGAAGACAGGCTGAGGCTCCAAAGAAGGAAGACTTTTCTCCTGGAGCAGCTGCACAGAAACCAGCTGCCTAGTGAGGCTGTAAGCTCCCCAACCCAAGAGCATTCAAGCAGAGGTGCATTCATGCCTCCTCCAAGGCATGATGCAAATGGGTCTCGAGCCTTAAATGCAGATCGGATCGGAGGACCTTGAAAATCACTTCTAGCTCTGAGATTCTGCCACTTGATAGCACCTGAGCCCCTTCAGTGAGAAGTGTTAAATCCAGTGATTATACCCATGGGGGCAAAAGGATTTCAGGGAGAAGAGAGCTCTGCGTAGGCTGGAGCAGGGGGAAGGCTTCGTGGGGGTGGGGAGGCAGGAAGCCGTTCCCAGGTGTGGAGCAGCTCCAGGCAGTCATAGCAGTGGGAAGGAGCCCTGTGCTCTGGGTGGCTAGGCGCTCTCCCAGGGCCCACTGACCAGGCGGGGCACACTCACCCCTTGCTGAGGGGCCAGCAAGTGGTGCAGAGTGTGGGGTGGAGAGGAAAAGGATGAGGGGGGGTGCAGGCAGGACGCAACACTGAGGTGACCGTCTGCACACACCCCAGACGTGGGCCTCTCGGACAAAGCTGGCCCATCTGCACCCACGTCTCACCTCTCTCCTTGATCCTGAGCTCCTTGTTCCTTTTTGTACCCCTCCACCTACCCTGCAGCACTCAGACATATCTCTCAGGCAAGGTGCAGAAGAAAAATCCCGGCTGCCTGGGGGGTGGTGTTGGGGGGTGGGCGTGGGAACCAGGCCACCACCCTTGCTCCCTGGCTCCCGCAGAGCAGGTGAAATGCACACACTTCAGCCCAGCCCAGCTGTCCAGTGTTGCATGGCAATGTGGTTTAGAGCCAGCCCTGTGTCCCTGGCCCAGCTCTTACTGGCTATACACTCATGCGCAAGTTAACTAGCCTCGCTGAGCCTGTTTCCTCACCTATTAAGTGCTGACAATCAAAGTACCTAATTCCCTTTATTTTTAAAAAATTTTTAAATTTTTAATTTTTTTCTTTTTTGTCTGTGCCGCATAGCATGCGGGATCTTAGTTCCCCGACCAGGGATCGAACCCGTGCCCCCTGCAGTGGAAGCACGGGACGACTGGACCGCCAGGGAAGTCCCCCTAATTCCCTTTAGCACAGTGTCTGGCACATGAAAAATGAAATGTTAGTCAATGTTATTACTATTATTATGAACAAGAAGAATGTGGGAGGGAGCAGAGGCACGCCACCACCCAGGAACCTAAAAGAGAGCAGTCTTAGATCAGAACATGAGGGAAGAGGAAGGATTAAAATCTCCCCAAGGACTGACTCAGCACTCATCCATTGAGCACCTATGTGTACAAGGAGATGCCAAACCAAAATGGAACTTAGTTATTATCTCAAGGGGGAAGAAAAGACTTGTCAACAATTAATTCCAGTCCAAGGGAACACAAAAGGGCCATAAGTGACCTACCAAGTACTCTGCAAATCCAGGGGAGGAGGGAGAGCTCACCCCCAACTAAGGGTTCAGGACGGGCTTCAGGGAGGAGGCCATGAGGTTAGGCCAGGCATGGGTCCAGCAGAGATGAAGCAGAAAGGGGAGAGGTGATGGATGAGCAATACAGACCCTCCATCCCCACCTCCTCTCTGCCCCCACCCCCTTTAGGCAAACCCCAGTGACATCATCAGGACTTGTCAACCACTGAAGGAGGCCAAATGCAACTAGAAATCAAAAGTGGAAAGTTAAACCTTAAAGGGGATCAGAGATGCCTGGCCCCATGCACACCAATCCTTCCCATACTCTTTCCCAACCAAACACTTA